CTCCCATAAATAGCACCTTCTTAAGGAAATTACATAATTATAATTATAATATGAAAAAAAAAGACAGCAAGAACATCTATCTTAGGAAAGAAAGGCAGCTACATATATATATATATATATATGCGTAAAACAATGTACAAAAACCTTTACAAGAGGTTTGTAAGCTAACAGTAGTTTGACCAACATCAAATAGAGCCCCGGTACAATATATGCCAAACAAAATCAAATAGAGCCCCTGTACAATATACGACAATTACAAAAGAAAGTAAGCTATTATAGACAAAATCATGGCAGCAACATTTACACAACATTTAAGTACCTAGTAACAAAAACAAGTATATCATTTAATTGTACCAAGACAGCATATAAACCACAACAAATTCTCAAGCATTATTAATGCTTTCTTGAGTGGGCAAATCAGCAATCGAATCTGATCTACTGGGTTGCTTATGGTGTGCAATTTCCTCTGGCAATATGAACAAAATCAATGTTAGAATTGCAAAAATAATGCTAAAGCAATATGATCATATTGCAAGTCACAATTTTTTTCACCAATAGTTGCCTACTAGATATGAATGACCTTGAATCCTCATGGCCACTTGCAACAACAAATTGATTTGGCCTTCCAACCTATTGAAAGATGCATGCACACTAGATCATCAAATATCTAAGCAGCAAAATCATAAAACAACCAGACATGAACAAGGATTAAATTGTCACTTACATTTATAACAAAAATCTATTGTGGAAGAGCTATAGGTGCTACAGTAGATTGGGTTTGGCGCTTGTAGGTTGCTGTCCTTTCCCCTTAAGGCTTGCATGCTTCAATTTCCATCTTGGGACAACAACATCTTTTGAAATGAAGCCTTCCGTAGTTGTAACAATAGATTGGTTTCTTTCAATAGCCCTCATTTCTTTTCCTCTTCTTGATAGCCGTAGATGCAGTGGACCTAACAGCAACTCCACTTGCACTAGTAGGAAGTTGACTTGCACCAGCAGCAGCTTCACTTGGTGCACTAGTAGCAGCTGCACTCGCTCTACTAGTAAAAGATTTACTTTTTTGATGTTGACTTTTTTGTTTGCTTATTTGACCCTAGACATAATAATTAAAAAAATTAAGTAACCAATAATATAAAAAACAACTAAATCAAGTAATAAGATACATAATAGATAACATTTACATGTCGCATAAGACAATATGACCTATTGTGTCCTTCTTGATGGCAAATCAAGCATCTCATTATCCTCTCGACCCTTGATATCTTTTTTTATTTGCCCTTCACCTTCTTTTCTTCTCCTTTCTTTCTTCGGTCGTCTAGCAGATCTCCTTACATATGGAGGTAAGACAACCTCCACATTTTGTTGAGGCTAGAACATTGGGCCTCTAACATGATAGAGCAGTTGTTCATAAGCCTTAAGGTATTTAGTCTTTTTAAAACAATCTGTTAAACACTTTGTAGGGTCCTCTCCCTCATAATAAATAGTGCTGATGGCATGCTGGCATGGCACTCCACTAATGTCCCAAGCTCGGCAACTACATGTTGTATGCTGCAAAGATAATATGTAACTCTCCCTCACTAGCTTTTTAGGATTTTCATAGGAGGCTTCATACAAATGGATCCCATTCTAATGCACATCCCATTTTGTTGCCAACCCCATAGACTTCTCAAATTTGGTGAGTATACGAAGGCTATAGTCAGTATTCCACTTCATGCCATATTCTTTGTTCTGAATTAATCATCTCATGACATAAAGTCTAATATCCTCAAGCATACTAATGATTGTTTTGCATCTTGCTTCTACAATTACTCCATTAAAGGTCTCAGACATATTATTGTCAATAACATCGCACTCAAAGAACTGAATTAGAATGGGCTAGAACATTGGGCCTCCACATTTATAAAATCTATTGATTGTTATTGTTTTTTCATTAATATCAATATTGTAAATTATGTCTATAAGAACTGAATTAACTAGTACCATCATCAATTAATGATATTATAAATAAAAAAAGAAATTAGTTCAAATACTAAAAAAAACTTGATAAGGTCATTCTAATTGTTTTCCTCTCATAACATGCTTGGTTGGGAAAAAGAATAGTTAATTTCCTATTCAAATTACCAACCAAAGACAATCTAGATAGTTGATACAAGATTCAACTCATTAATACAAGTCTTTTCAGTTTATTATTCAAAAGACTGATAGCTTAGTATAGTTTGGACACCAAGCAAGGTAGATAATTTTTAATTCTAGTACTCTATTTCTTTTTATGCTTATAAACTTGGAAAAGTTTGCTTGTTTGATTATGTTTTATGCATCTCATGATTTGCTATTAATTCTTTGTTTGACTTATTCTGTTCTTTCCTTTTTTTCACCAAGATATTCACTATTTTGGCACTATGGAATATATATATATATACTCTATTTCTTTTCATGCTTATAAACTTGGAAAAGTTTGCTTGCTTGATTATGTTTTGTGCATCTTATGACTTGTTATTGATTTTTTGTTTGACTTATTTTGTTCTTTACCTTCTTTCACCAAGATATTCACTATTTTTGGCACTATGAAATATATATATGTATATATATATATAACAAAACATTTATTATAAGGAAAAGGTTCTTAGCATCCCTTTACAAATCCCCTAACCCTCATATTTTTGGCTTAGGTAGACTTGATAAGGTAGCTTGTTTTTTTAAATAAACCAAAATAGGTTTCTATCTCGGTTGCGATTATAATAATTATATTAAGATATTTATATTTCATTTATCACTATGATTATTTATTTGATTAAATTTTTACTTTTTGATAGTAAAGAACTTTAACCATTCCTTCTTAAAGTTAAAAAAAAAAACAAAAAAGAAGTGGACCCAAATGAAGATATTGTACTAATATCATGTTTGGTTAATCTTCACAATAACGGAACATATAATATAGACACTGGTTTTAGATATGGTTATTTTTAGAGCTCAAAAGAATGATTGTAAAAAGTTTACCAAATACAAACTTGAAGGCTAAACCTCACATAAAATCAAAGATTAAGACCTTGAAGAAAGAAGGAGCAATTTTATATGATATGGTATAAGGAAGAGGTACCAGTGGATTTGGTTGGGACAATGAAAGGAACATGGTTATTACTGAAGATCTTGTATGAGATTCTTGTATAAGTATAAGTATGTTGTTTAAACAAATAAAATTAAAGAGTAGGTATTATTAACAAATATTATTAAATTATTTTTGTATTTTGATAAAAATATTACTTATTTACAGTAAAGAGTATTTTTTTCTCATCATCTATTATTTGTGTATTTTTGCTATTTACTTAAAAAATCTTTAATTTTTGATAAAGGGTATTTTTATCATTTATCAAGTATTCTTTAACTATTCCTAAAATTATTTTTGTCAACCAAACAATGGAATAGTAATAATAACAATTCTCATCCTAATCCATTTCTATGAACCAATCTACATAATAATTATCCTTCTTTTATTTTATTCTCATTAAAAAGTTATTTCATTCTCATTCTATTTCTTCTTGCGAACCAAACATGCTGCAGTTCA